TTCCATTTTCCACCCCAATTCTGCCTGAAAAACCCCGGGAATTTTTCCCCCAAATTCCCACAGGATTTCCCTCCATTCCAACCCCTTTGATCCCGAAATTTTATCCCAAATTTCTTGGGATTTAGCAGGAATCTCGACGCCGTAGACCTGAAATTCTCCCCCAATTTTGCCCTTTTCCCCCCCAATTCTGCCTGAAAAACCCTGGAATTTTCCCCCCAAATTCCCAAATTCCCACAGGATTTCCCCCCCCCATTCCCAACCCCTTTCATTCTGAATTTTATCCCGAATTTTTTTGGGCTTTACCGGGAATCTCGACGCCGTAGACGGCGACGTCGGCCTGGCCCAGGAGGCGGCTCAGCGCGCCCTCGACCTCGGTGCTGGAGACGTTCTCGCCCCGCCAGCGGAACGTGTCCCCGCCCCGGTCCCGAAAGTACAGGTACCCCAAATCGTCCATCACCAGAACGTCCCCTAAAAATGGGGAAATAGTCCCAAAAAAATCCCAAAAAGTTACGCCGAGGAACGGGGGAAATATCGGGAAAAATCCGCAAAAAAATTCCAAAAAGTTGCAGCGGGGAATGGGGAAAAAATGCCGGAAAATGTTCACCCAGAATGGGGAAAAATCCCAAAAAATCTCAGCTGGAAATGGGGAAAATGCCCCAAAAAATTCCCCAGAACTGTCCCATGGGAATGGGGAAAAAATCCCCAAAAATTCCCCGAAATCGTCCCATGGGAATGGGGAAAAAAACCCAAAAAATTCCCTGAAATTGTCCAATGGGAATGGGGAAAAAATCCCCCAAAATTCCCCGAAATCGTCCCATGGGAATGGGGAAAAAATCCCCAAAAATTCTCCCAAATTGTCCCATGGTAATGGGGAAAAAATCCCCCAAAAAAATCCCAGCTGGGAACTGGGGAAGCAGCCCGGAACTGCAGGTACCCCAAATCGTCCATCACCAGAACGTCCCCTAAAAATGGGGAAATAGTCCCAAAAAAATCCCAAAAAGTTACGCTGAGGAATGGCGGAAATATTGGGAAAAATCCGCAAAAAAATTCCAAAAAGTTGCAGCGGGGAATGGGGAAAAAATCCTGGAAAATGTTCCCCCAGAATGGGGAAAAATCCCAAAAAAACCCAGATGGAAATGGGGAAAATGCCCCAAAAAATTCCCCAAAATCGCCCCATGGGAATGGGGGAAAAAATCCCCAAAAATTCTCCGAAATTGTCCCATGGGAATGGGGAAAAAATCCCCCAAAAAAATCCCAGCTGGGAACTGGGGAAGCAGCCCGGAACTGCAGGTACCCCAAATCGTCCATCACCAGAACGTCCCCTAAAAATGGGGAAATAGTCCCAAAAAAATCCCAAAAAGTTACGCTGAGGAATGGCGGAAATATTGGGAAAAATCCGCAAAAAAATTCCAAAAAGTTGCAGCGGGGAATGGGGAAAAAATCCTGGAAAATGTTCCCCCAGAATGGGGAAAAATCCCAAAAAAACCCAGATGGAAATGGGGAAAATGCCCCAAAAAATTCCCCAAAATCGCCCCATGGGAATGGGGGGAACGGGGAAAATACCGGGAAAAATCCGCAAAAAAATTCGGAAAAGTTGCAGCGGGGAATGGGGAAAAAATGCCGGAAAATGTTCACCCAGAATGGGGAAAAATCCCAAAAAAACCCAGATGGAAATGGGGAAAATGCCCCAAAAAATTCCCCAAAATCGCCCCATGGGAATGGGGGAAAAAATCCCCAAAAATTCTCCGAAATTGTCCCATGGGAATGGGGAAAAAATCTCCAAAAATTCCCCAAAATTGTCCCATGGAAGTGGGGAAAAAATCCCCAAAAATTCCCCAAAATTTTCGCACGGAAATGGGAAAAAAATCCCCAAAAATTCCCCAAAATTGTCCCATGGGAATGGGGAAAAAATCCCCCAAAAAAATCCCAGCTGGGAACTGGGGAAGCAGCCCGGAACTGCAGGTACCCCAAATCATCCATCACCAGAACGTCCCCTAAAAATGGGGAAACCCCAAAAAAAATCCCAAAAAGTTACGCTGAGGAACGGGGAAAATATCGGGAAAAATCCGCAAAAAAATTCCAAAAAGTTGCAGCGGGGAATGGGGAAAAAATCCCCCAAAATTCCCCCAAATTGTCCCACGGGAATGGGGAAAAAATCCCCAAAAATTCTCCCAAATTGTCCCATGGTAATGGGGAAAAAATCCCCCAAAAAAATCCCAGCTGGGAACTGGGGAAGCAGCCCGGAACTGCAATCTCACTTGGATATAGGAAAATAACCTCAAAAATTCCTTAAAAATTACACCTGGGAATTGTGAAAAATCCTGAAAAATCTCAACTACGAATTGGGAAAAATTCCAAAAAAAATTCCTGAAAAATCACACCTGGGGCTTGGGGAAAAGTCCTGTAAAAACTCCTAAAAAATCCCCCAAAAATCCTGAAAAGTTACAGTGGGGAATGGGGGGGAAAATCCCCAAAAATGTACCCCAAGAATGGGAAAAAATCCCAAAAAATGTACCCCAAGAATGGAAAAAAATCCCAAAAAATGTACCCCAAGAATGGAAAAAAATCCCAAAAAATGTACCCCAAGAATGGGAAAAAAATCCCCAAAAATGTACCTCAGGAATGGGGGAAAATCCCCAAAAATTTCCCTCAGAAATGAAAAATGTACCCCAAGAATAGGAAAAAATCCCCAAAAATGTGCCCCAAGAATGGGAAAAAAATCCCCAAAAATGTACCTCAGGAATGGGGGAAAATCCCCAAAAATTTCCCTCAGAAATGGGGGGAAAACCCCATAAAATTCCCAATAAATCCCACCTGGGATTGGCAAAAAATCCTGAAAAAATTTCCAAAAAATTATACCATGGAATGGGGGAAAAAAATTCCCCAAAAATTCCACCTGGGAATGAGGAAAATATCCTGAAAAAATTCCCCAAAAAATAGAATGGGAAAAAAATCCCCAAAAATGTACCCCAAGAATAGGAAAAAATCCCCAAAAATGTGCCCCAAGAATGGGAAAAAATCCCAAAAAATTTCCCTCAAAAATGGGGGGAAAACTCCATAAAATTCCCAATAAATCCCACCTGGGATTGGCAAAAAATCCTGAAAAAATTTCCAAAAAATTATACCATGGAATGGGGGAAAAAAATCCCCAAAAATTCCACCTGGGAATGAGGAAAATATCCTGAAAAAATTCCCCAAAAAATGATATCGGGAAATGTGGAAAAAAAATCCCAAAAACTGTCCCTCAAAAATGGGGGAAAAAATCTCCAAAAAATCCCACCTGGGAATGGGGAAAATGGCCCAAAAAATCCCAGGATTTGGGGTGGGAATTCCAGGAATTCCATGAGAAGTGGGAAAAGACCCCAAAAATTCACCTGAGAGTGGCGAGAAGACCCCAAAACCCAACGTGGGACTTTTGGGTCAACGCTCCAGGACTTTTTTTCTGTAGTTTATTCCCAAGACTTTTGGGGTGTCCCAACGGGGAAAATCCTGGGATTTGGGGCCAGAATTCCGGGAATTCCCACAGAAAGTGGGGAAGAACTCAGGATTGTCACCCAAGAACTGGAAGAGGATCCCAAAACCCAACGTGGGATTTTTGGCCGTCGCTCCAAGACAACCCCATTGATTCCCGAGCCCTTTGAGGTGTTCCAATGGAGAAAATCCCGGGATTCGGGGCCGGAATTCCGGGAATTCCCACAGAAAGTGGGAGAAGATCCCAAAAATTCACCTGACAAAGAGGGAGAAGACCCCAAAACCCAGCGTGGGATTTTTGGCCGTCGCTCCAGGAAAACCCCATTGATTCCCGAGCCCTTTGGGGTGTTCCAATGGGGAAAATCACGGGATTTGGGGCCGGAATTCCGGGAATTCCCACAGAAAGTGGGAGAAGATCCCAAAAATTCACCTGACAAAGAGAGAGAAGACCCCAAAACCCAACGTGGGATTTTTGGCCGTCGCTCCAAGAAAACCCCATTGATTCCCGAGCCCTTTGGGGTGTTCCAATGGGGAAAATCACGGGATTTGGGGCCGGAATTCCAGGAATTCCCACAGAAAGTGGGACATGACCCCAAAAATTCACCAGACAAAGTGGGAGACGACCCCAAAAATTCACCTGACAAAGTGGGAATAGACCCCAAAACCCAACGTGGAATTTTTGGCCGTCGCTCCAGGGGATCCCCGTTGATTCCCGAGCCCTTTGGGCTGTTCCAATGGAGAAAATCCTGGGATTTGGGGCCGGAATTCTGGGAATTCCCACAGAAAGTGGGAGACGACCCCAAAAATTCACCTGACAGTGGTGAGAAGACCCCAAAACCCAGCGTGGGATTCTTGGCTGTCCCTCCAGGGGATCCCCGTTGATTCCTGCGCCCTTTGGGCTGTTCCAATGGAGAAAATCCTGGGATTTGGGGCGGGAATTCTGGGAATTCCCACAGAAAGTGGGAGACGACCCCAAAAATTCACCTGACAGTGGTGAGAAGACCCCAAAACCCAGCGTGGGATTCTTGGCTGTCCCTCCAGGGGATCCCCGTTGATTCCTGCGCCCTTTGGGCTGTTCCAATGGAGAAAATCCTGGGATTTGGGGCGGGAATTCTGGGAATTCCCACAGAAAGTGGGAGACGACCCCAAAAATTCACCTGACAGTGGTGAGAAGACCCCAAAACCCAGCGTGGGATTCTTGGCTGTCCCTCCAGGGGATCCCCGTTGATTCCCGAGCCCTTGGGGTGCCCCGGTGGGGAAATTCCCGGGATTCGGGGCGGGAATTCCGGGAATTGCGAAGGGAATTACCTGACAGGTAGGCCTGGTCGCCCTGAGCCCTTTGGGGTGTTCCAACGGAGAAAATCCCGGGATTCGGGGCGGGAATTCCGGGAATTCCCACAGAAAGTGGGAGACGACCCCAAAAATTCACCTGACAAAGTGGGAGAAGACCCCAAAACCCAGCGTGGGATTCTTGGCTGTCGCTCCAGGGGATCCCCGTTGATTCCCGAGCCCTTGGGGTGCCCCGGTGGGGAAATTCCCGGGGTTCGGGGCGGGAATTCCGGGAATTGCGAAGGGAATTACCTGACAGGTAGGCCTGGTCGCCCTTGGCCAGCACGTCGCGGGCGATCTTGCTGCGCGTGGCGCCGGCGCTGACGTAGCCGTCGAAGCGGCGCAGGGGGTCCCGCTGGTCGATGCGGCCCACCAGCACACCCGGCTCCCCTGGGGCGGGAACGGCATCCCAAAGCCCGGGGGAAAGAAACGGGAATGGGATCATGGAATCCAGGGGAAATGGGAATGGGATCCCAAAATCCAGGGGAAAGAAACGGGAATGGCATCCCAAAACCCGGGGGAAAGAAACGGGAATGGCATCCCAAAACCCGGAAGAAAGAAACGGGAATGGGATCCCAAAA